GGGTATCGGGTTAAGGCTGCCCGGGGACTCAGAATCAGAACTCCAGCAGAAGACTTGAACCTAGTCAGTCTACTGTAGGCATACACCACTACCTCCTGAAACGGAATTAAAAATCCGGTTCCTTGGCATTTTAAGATTTTGCTTCCCTCAGTGCGGCCAGCATTAAATCTAAACTCTGATAAATACGCAGGGCTCAAATGCTGATAGCACTTAGGGAATGAGAACCGAGATCTTTCTTTTAGCCCCAAAGGCTACACTACAGGAAATATCATTTCCAAACTATCCCCCATTCAATTCTATCCTGATAAATGTTATTCTAGTTCCATCTCTCAAGGGCCAGATTTGGTCCATGAGGGTGACTGGGTGCAGACCTTTATATCAGTTTATAACAAAAAATACAGTTGAGCAACAATTTGCTAACGGACTGTTAGCATTAGAACATTGAGGAAAATACCTTACGTTCAGAAAATGAACAATACGAAGTTAACCGTGGCAAATGGAATGGAACAGACCTACCTTCTTTCAGTGGGAGGAACTTGACAGGCTTAGGAACCCAGGTAAGCAAGTGAAGAGCTTCTGTTTTGTGGCCCCTTTTATACTGCTCCTCAAGCTTTCCACAGAGGAAGTGAGGCATCATTACATAGACACATCATTTGTAAGACAACAAATCATTATCATAAACAATATGCTACATTCTGGTGTGTGACCGCTGACTGGGGGTATATCTTCCATTAGAGAATTAACTCACATAATGTATCATGAAGCCTGTGATCTACAAATAACTGTGTGTTTCTCAGATCTGGCCAAAGGGCAGTTAGAGGGTTGCTTTAATTTTGATCCACAGACTGGCTTCCCAAAACGTAGGAATCAAAAGGTGCGCTTTAAAAAAAATAAATCAGAAATTTCAAAAGCATTATGAAATTTCAGAAATATTCTCAAGGAAAACCAAACATAAAAAAAATAAAATAACCAATTAGGAGTTAACATTAAGTTAAAACTAAAATTACAGCAGTAAAAGGCGTACCCTAAACCTAAACCAGTAGCAATAAAAAAATCAAATATAACTCTTTGAAAAAAGATCATGTCCTTATAGATCGCGTTATCTAGAAAGATATTTTTTGGTTAAAAACTGAACAATTGGAAACCTCCAAAAGCTGTGCTTCTTAATCTCCCAGATACCAGACTCATCCTCATTTGTTTGGTTTCATATCTTTGACTTTATGATAACTCAATCCATTTGACTGCAATAACGATTGTGCTTATTGAGGAATGTTGCGACCTCTGGCAAGAAAGATCTCATTGTCGCGTCAAGGTAGAGTCATCTTCAAGTAATCATCATCAAAATCCTGAGGCTCTACTATGCCCCCAAATGGGATTTACAATCTCATAAACCTTTCCAAATCATGGGGTGGCATAACGGTTACCTCCAAAGACCAAGTCAGCATGTGAAGAATGAGTGGCTTTATGGAAACAGTCTTTATGCCACCACCAAATGGAGACATAAGGCAACTAAAGCTGAGTTAAGCGGGTTTAGTCATTTCTCATTTCTCATTCTACTTTACTGACAGTTTGTAACTTGCCAGCCCCCAGGCCCATAGCCAGGATTTTTAAAGGTGGCTACTGCCTAATCAAATTAAAGGAATACCGGCTCCTTTCCTGCATCCGGCACCACTTGGGGGCCCTGGGCTGGATGGAAAGTCAGGGGGCCTTGCCAGTAAGTCAGGGGGCCTAGCCCCGAGATGCCCCACTGTAGCTGCGGGCCTGTCTCCACCCTAGCCAGCAATAAGACTGAAACTTTAGTATCTTTTCCTGCTTATGAATAGGTCCAAGAGCCTCCTCCAACATGCTTTCCAAGCAACTCAGAGTCTGATCAACTGTACTCAGGACAAACACTTTCCAAATCATGGGGTGACATAACGGTTACCTCCAAAGACCAAGTCAGCATGTGAAGAATGAGAACTGAGTGGCTTTATGGAAATAATCCTTGTAACACCTCCAAATGGAGACACCCACCATGATCCCCCATCCTTCAGTGCCTCTATGTAACAACAGTAGTATCAATACTGGTAAAGCAATGCCGGAGGCATTGAAGGAAGAAGGCTTATTCCCCAACTAGACCATCAGTTGTTATTGGGCATTAGTGGGTTGAGGATCGAACAGTTCTGAGTAACATCAACCAAACGATGAGTGGTTTGAAAAGCATGTAAGGAGTGTTGGGATCGGTTTCCTGATGCCACTCAAGTGCAGGAAAGGGTATAGAACAGTGGTGGCGAACCAATGGCACGGGTGCCAAAGGTGGCACTCAGAGCCCTCTCTCTGGGCACACGTGCCATCGCCCCAGCCAGGCCCAGACCATCATTAAAGTGTCAAATTCTCTGCCAAATAATTTTAAGTAAATGAAAGCATTTGGGATTGCTTCCCTTACTTTGTTTGGATCATCTTAAGTTAATGTATGGGTTTTTTTTTCTAAAGTAAAACCTCCGTATTCAGGTTAAATTGCCATGTTGGCACTTTGCGATAAATAAGTGGGTTTTGAGACGCAGTTTGGGCACTCGGTCTCTAAAAGGTTCGCCATCACTGGTATAGAATGTCCACTATACTTGCTGACTAGGGTAGAGATGTCCAAACAATGGGCACTGTGGCAGAACATGCCCACTCTGTCCTGCAGGCCCCATTCCGTCCTGCCTTCCTAGAGGTCCCCAACTTCCTGGAGAGGCTTTTCCTTCTCTCTAGGGTAACTCACTGATCAGTGTAGGGATTTCCCGCTGGGAGGATTAGGACCCCAAGCACCCCTTCCACATTCAGAGGCCTAGCCTCTATGTCTTCCACTGTCAAACTCCTTGTCACCATGGGGACATATTACTGCCTTGCACACTTCTGGGGGAACAGCCAATTGCCAACTGACTGCTTTCCCTCTCCCAGTGCTCCTTTTAAAGTAGTGTGAGGGTTTATGTGGCACAGAGAGCCACTTCCAGAATCAAAAGTTCAAAGTATTTATTTAAAAAAAATGTTTACAAGCATTCTTTTATCACAGCAGCAGATTTGAGCAGGGGGCGGGGGGGAGAAATTGCTAAAAATGCATATCCCCTATCCCTCTCAATATGCATGCCCTACATGATGGTAAAAGCTGTCTGTCTTTGGCGTTCTAGTTCTCTAAAGATTTTCCATTACTTTTAGGCTTCCTTCAGATTCCCAGGCTGACTGCATGGTCAAAATGGCTTCCTGTTTGCAGACCAGAGCTCAGAGTCATCATCAACTCAGCATCCCAAAGGAAAAAGAAACCTAGGCCCTGTTCACACGGAGGATTTGCCATGGTAAAGGCATGAATGGCAGGCGGATTATCGGTGTGCGATCACACCGCAACATCTGGGAAGCGTAGCACACTCGTGGGCAATCCATGGCATCCCGCCGAAGATGCGCGGTAAAAAACTACCTAGGAAAGTGCAGTAGTATCCAGAAAATGTGGGGCAAGGGTGGGCATCTTATCGCGGGAGCGCTAGTATCCCGTGGCTTTCGGCGCCCGTCCGAGTCCCGTCGCAAACCAGATGGTTTCCCTAAGTGCATGCACACGAACACTTAACTGGAAGCAGTGCTGCTCCACGGAACTGCACATGCACACAAACACAGAACGCTTACCGCACGGCTTCTTTGCCAGCTCCAGCATCGCCGTGTGATCGCGAGCTTCCTGCCACAGCACGAAGACTCGGGTGACCGTGTGATCGAGCTAACATGCTTTATTTTGCCCCGGGGCAAATAGCCACGCCTCACCCCCACGTTATCTGGCCCATGTGACCGGGGCCCTATTTCATTATTTATTTATTTATTTAATTAATTCAATTTTTAGACCAACCTCCCCTGTAGGACAGGGCTCGGGGGGGGGGGTTACCTCAGAAAATTTTTTACACAGTTATAATAAAAAATTAAAATCATAAAATATTTAACATAAGTAATAGTCAGATGGTGATAAGACTGACAGACTTTGCCACTGCCTCATAGGGGGTGGGGGAGAGAGGAGAAGCAGGAATAGCAGGTGTACCAGCCAGATGGATACTGTCACTGTCCTCAGGCAAATGCCTGGCACAACATCTCTACTTTACATGCCCTGAACTGCATTAAGTCCCAATTGACACTAATATCATTCAGCATGTAAGGCAGAGAAGTTCCGGTTTGGTGTAGTGGTTAAGTGTGCTGACTCTAATCTGGGAGAACCGGGTTTGATTCCCCACTCCTCCACTTGCACCTGCTGGATGACCTTGGGCAAGCCATAGCTCTGATAAGAGCTGTTCTTGAAAAAGAGCAGTTTCTGTCAAGATCTCTCTCAGCCCCACCTACCTCACAGGGTGTCTGTTGTGGGGAGGGGAAGGGAAAGGAGTTCGTAAGCCACTCTGAGACACTTTTCGGTAGTGAAGGGCAGGGTATAAATCCAATCTCTTCTCTTCTCTTCTTCTTCCTCCAGACCTTTGGCTGAGGCCAACAATGGTTCCTTATACCTGCCTGGCACACACACACCCCATGACTGAATGGTAGCACTGCCATCTTGTCCTAAAATGTTTTCAGTGTTTAAATGCCTCTGATTGTTATTAATATTGGGATTTTAATGGTATTAATTGATTTTATATTGTATTGAAATAATTGTTGCAAACTGCCCTGAGCTCCGCACAAGCCAGGAAGGGTGGTTAAGAAATCAAATAAATGAATGGATGGATGAATGAATAAATAAATAAATACAAACACTGTTTCCCTAAAGCTACTCAGCTCTCAGTCTCTACATGCTGATTTCGGAAATAACCTTTAGGCCAAACTGGTATTTGGTTGCACAGCCTGCTTTTTGGTTGCAGGGCCTCAGGACAGTGAAGATTATTACTTGAACTTTAATAATCCTTGACGTGGCAATGAGCCATTTCTTGGCTGTCATTAAAGTCACATGGATTGTGTTTTGGGTCTGGGAATAAGAAGCACAACTTTCAGTTCCTGTGTTTTCATTAAGGATGGGCACGAACTGGGAAACTGTGGTTCGGTTCATGTTTCATGACACACATGGCTTGTGAACCGCAGACCATGATGAACTTTTTGAGATCAAACGAACCAGTTTGGATTGTTTCATGATGTGGTAGAATTCCCCCCCCCCCCAGCATGCTAGAGACACCAAACTTGCACCAAATCTCTAGCTGACTCTCCTCTACCTGGTTCTCTAAGTTTGGTGATCATTGAATTCAAAGGGTCCATGTTACGTCTGCCCAAAGAGGGATTTTTTCCAAAGAAGGGAAAAGACAGCAAAGACAGCAAAAAGGTAAGGGCAATAGAAGCCCAGCAGAACAGAATGAAAGTCCCTAAGAATCTCTGCAGTAGAAATCAAATTGGGGGGAGGGGCATTTTTGCAAGGGGCTGTGGTGGCTCAGTGGTTAAGATGCTGAACTGCAGGCTGGAAGGTCGGTAGTTCAGCAGTTCGAGACTCGAGTGTGCCACATGATTGAGTGAGCTCCCGTCTCTGGTCCCAGCTCCTGCCAGTCTAGCAGTTTGAAAGCAGGTAGATAAATAGGTACCACTTTGGTAGGAAG